CATTAAGTTGACATAGTTTTACCGCAATCTGATGAACGATATGGCAGCACATAAAATACGAACAAACAAACATCAATTTTTATATATTAAGATATGGATGACGAACGTGTCACAGTCCACTGCTGCCTGCTAAGCCCGCCCAAGGAATGCTACAAAGTACGATCTTAGCCACATCCATCGACTTCTTGCATGTCTTACCAGGTCATTACTCCATCTAGTGGGGGGAGGTTCTACACTTCGCTTAGGTACTGGTACGAAGCCGCCACTCGAGAATATTTTTTCCTCATCGGTTGTCGGTTCTTCAACAGTGATAGAGCCATGCGGCAGCTTTGCTGTTGCACGTATTTGCCGGCTTAAACCGAGGTGGTACCACGATCTCACAGAATACCGTCGTGAACTGGAAGGTCAGCTCAAGACAACAACTGGTCGGGGCAAGATGGGCAACAAGACCAAGGCGACCCCTGCCACGCTATTGCACGAATTTCTGCAATATCAGGGGCCTTCACTCTAACATAAACGCCGTTCACTATCATCTCGAGACGGCAAGATGGTAGTGGACGGCATTCTCTCCCACCTGGGGTACAAACTGGAATACTCCTTTGTGCCTCGGGCTGGAGTTTGCGTATACTTCAGTGAGGACATCTGTTCTCGACGCCTCGGCAGTCTTGCAGGTTCGGACCTGTTCATCCTTTGGCTACGCGTAGAGAGCAACGACCATCCGTGCGTCTACGGGTGCTTCTATAGGTCCCATAGCGCTAATGCCGAAACAGACCGACTCTTCGACCACGTCCAAATGGTTACAGATTCGTTGCTACAGCGAATCCCCTCCGCAGAGATCGTGATCCTCGGCGATTTAACGCCCACCACGCCGAATAGCTTGGTTCACGTTCGCATCAACTTGGCATATGGTCTGGTTACTTCACGCAGATCCAGAGGTGGAAGTCAACCAACCCTCTACCTACCTCCAATTAGGATAGGATGCGGTCTTTCTAGCATCCTATCCTTAGGGGCGGGTTTGCTTCTCGCAGGACTGGTTTGCTTGTTGCTGATTCTGTCGCTGATGTGATACTTCTGGGTATGGAACTTTTAATTCCTTCCTCTGTGGTGCCCATTGGAGGCAAATCTCAGCCATGGTTTGGTCGCTCCTGTAAAATAGCATCATGATATAAGCACGAGTGCTACCAAGCCTGGTCTTTGCTTCCCAAGAAATTGTGCAATTGGATCACCAGCTTTCTTGCAGATCGGAGCATCAAGGTCGTAGACAGTGCAAGCTCCGAATACAAGCCCATTAATGCTGGTGTTCCACAAGGCTATGTGTTATCACCAACGCTGTATCTTCTGCATATCAATGATATGTTGCAAACCGGCAGCATTCATTGCTATGCAGATGACAGCACTGGCTCTGTACACCGGCCGTGCAAATATTTCTCGGGAAAACGTCTCCAAGTACGGAGACATACTTGTGTCTGAAGTCAAGTCTTTGCTGAACAAAGTCTCGGATTGGGGGCGACTAAATCTAATCCAGTTTAACCCCCAGAAGACACAAGTTTGCGCGTTAACCGCTAAAAAGGACCCCTTTGTTGTATCTCCTCAGTTTCAAGGCACTCCACTCGGCGTCGACATATCGAGTGACGTGCAGTTTCGTTGTCACTTGGAAGAGAAGGCCAAATTGGCCTCTAAAAAGCTTGAGTCTTTCTCTTCCAAGTGACGTGCTCAGCAGAGCGGGACAGTATTTCATGCCGGCACACCGCCTGCAACTTTACAAGGCGCAGGTTCGGCGGCACATGGAATACTGTTCCCATCTCTGGGCTAGAGCTCCCCAGTACCAGCTCCTTTCACTTGACCGCATCCAGCGCAGAGCGGCTAGAATCGTCGACGACCGAGTTATTTATGATCGGCTCGATTCACTGGCGCTGCGAAGAGGTGTTGCATGTCTTAGCATTTTCTTTCGCATATACCATGGGGAGTGCTCTAAGAAATTGTTCGGATTAATCCCAGCCGCCAAATTTCATGAACGCACCAAGCGGCAAACCTCCCGGTACCATCCACACTATCTGGGTGCATGGTGGTCACCCCTTTACATTTCACAAGGAGTTTTCTTCTGCGTACGACCTCTCTGTGGAATACGACTGGCGATTTTTCCGGACTGATACGACCTGGGGACCTTCAAAAAAAGAGCTTGCTTCCTTTCTAAAGGGCCGGCAACGCACCTGCAATTTCCTCGGTGTTGCGGGTGTTCATAGGCGGCGGTGGTCACTTAAGATCAGGTGAACCGTATGGTATGCAAGAATCTTCTATAAAAAAAGCTGTGCCTTGCCTATTGCTATTCAGCTTACTCTACTCATATCCTTGGGGTTATGTCGGTTACTCTGGTTCTACTCCGAATATCTTCATTACGAAGTCTATCACGCAGAGAAGCTCTGAGCATAGCTCAGTACTGACCATGAGGTGGTGAAAGAATACCCACTTCCATATCGTGGACACCGTGAGACACTAGAACATAAAAATAAAAAAACCGCGGTTTTCAACCCGCGACTAAAGAAATAGCAGTGTCAATGAATGTTTATATAATTATCAAACAAAAACCGAGCGTGTATAATATATACTAGTCGTCACGTCAAATATTTCCTTATTCAGTTGACGTGGAAACAACGCTGTATTACTTATTAAATACTAATATAAACAAAAGGAAAATATTATTGTAAATCACGAAACAACACGTAATAATTAATGCATTTCATGAATTGTACAATAAGTAGGAAGTAAGTGACCAATTTACTTATGAGTAGTAGTAATTGTAAATCACAGACGTGACGTGTTATGTTATTAACGGATCGTATCATTATAACCGTATAGTAATCACGCAGACGTGTTCTATGCGTGCACGCAACTTACACAAATACAACATTATAATAAACTAAAATAAATAAGCATCTTAATACTGCTTTGTTTCGTATGGTGATTGTAGTGAACCGGAGACCCTTTTTACTGGATAGGAGGCATTTCATTTTAGTCCTGAGGGGTGATAACGCATTTGTATTTTGATTATTAATCGAGGTTTAGATATTTATAGGCCACAGCGTAAACTTACAATTACGTGTGTTGCATGCTCGCATGTTATTCTTGTGTTCTCTGAAGAAAAATGATTACGGCGGAGCTTAACATACCAAATTTTTTAGCCCACCGGATTGGGGTCTGTAGAAAATATTTGATTGGTTTTATCTCATGACAAGTTTTTCGTTTGGGCGTGTTGAAGAAAAACTCGATGTTAACCTGTGGGACTTAGAGTTACTGCCGAACCCTTGATAGTCGCGGCTGATTGCCTTTAATGACAATTAAATGCTAGTTCCCCAACAAACTAACTAACTTACTAATATACACTACTTTACTCGAAACGAGGCATTCCATTTTAGTACTCAGGGAGACAATGCATCTGCATTTTGATTCTTTTTTTTTATAGGATAGGGTGACAAACGAGCACACAGTCCACCTGATGGTAAGTGGTTACTGTGACTCATAGACATCTACATCTGTCCTCGATTACGAATAAAAATGCAGATGCGTTGTCACCTGTGAGGACTAAGATGGAATGCCTCTTTTCCAGTAAAAAATCTCCGGTTCTCTACACTCATCATACGAAACACAGCAGCATTAAGCTACTATTTCATGCTGGTATTCTGTGAGAGCGTGACCCTTCCCCGGTCGAGCCGACCCATTCATGCTACAATTATACTACTAATACTACTACCTATATACTATCTATTACTACTACCTACCGTACTATCTACCACGTATGAAATTCGTAATATAGAATTCATAATTGAGGATAAATGTAGATGTCTGGGCGACGGAATCCACTAACCACCAGGTAGACTATGTGCTCGATTGTCATCCTTATTCTATAAAAAAAAGATCTGTTAATGTACAGGGACTATCTTCTAGAGTATCTATTAAACAGATTCTGTATTCATTCGTTAATTTATCGCAGTCATTAACTAGTCTACTCCTGAATAAAAAATGCCATAAAACGGCGTTGAGCCACCTGCATCCACCAACTTCTCGCTTGTCTTACCAGGTCTTACCGGTACGACGCTGCCACTCGAGAAGAGTGTACTTTACTTTTCTCTCCCGGAAGCTGTATAAAAAGAGCTAATAGAAGAATAAGTATTCATGGATGCCGTGTGGTGGCGGTGTATGAACATCCACTACCATAATTTATCCCGTGGGTGTCCCATGAGGTGACAGAGGGAAACAAATGAGGAGAGGCAGCAGCGTCTTCCTAATGACGACTAAAAATAAATAACTGCGTCTGCCAACCCGCTTGCTAAGCGTGACGACTTTGACATTCCATAATATTTAGTGATTGTGTGATAAAATTGCTACCCTGATAATGATAAGTGATAACATTTGTTATCATTTATAACCGACAATATAGTTTTGGTGAATAATAACCGAGTGTGTGTGTGAGAGTTTTAGGAGTCCATCGCGGACAAACAACGTGACACGTAATTTATATATATATAATATATATACATAGGTATACATATATATCCACACAAAATTAATTCTTATATATTATATTTATAAGATCCATAGACATCTACATTTATCCTTGCTTAAAAATCAAAATGCACGTAGTCACCCCTGAGGAAAACACAGTAGCAGTAAGCTATTTATATCCCTCCCCTATCGAACCGAACCATTCGTATTACAACCATGTAATCTGTGATAATATATTTGCAGTGTGGGTTCACCATCTATAAATTTGGATAACGTATAATTTTGGTAAGTTATTTATTCTGTTTGCACGTTGCACGTTTGCACATTGACACGTATCCGTTACATTGTGTGACTACTTAAATACTTGACGCTGGCAGATCCAGTTGCCAGCTACCAACAAGGAAAAAAGGTAATAAAGAAATATTAAATTAAGAAACTAGTGGGATCCCAGCTGCGTAGCTCGGTGGTGGTAGAGGCAACGGTTAGTTAGTGGTGCGACGATGTGGCGGCGAGTTGTGTGGCAGGTGGCCATGTTACTCCTCGTCTCCGGTAGCTCGGATGTGAGGTACTACGCGCAGAAGCGACCCTATACGTCCACGCCTCAGGTATGCCTTAACATTAACTAGTAAATGGTATTTGCTATTATTGGCGAAAGTATTTTTTATTGCGTTTTGCCCCTGTGTTTTTAATTCTCATTTATTTGTACACGTCAAGTAATTTTAGATTACTTATTACTTTATTTGTTGAAATATGAAAGTTTTAAATGGAAATCATTTCCGTTATCATATATTTGGCTTTTATAAGTTATGATGAGCGATGCACGATTATAACTTATTAGAGATCCACCCTGGTTTCGCTTGCATCTATTAATGTGGCGTTATTCAGATTTATTGAAATAATCAATTTATTTTATAAATTTTTCAATTTCTTAAAAAAGTCTACAAGTATTTCATATATTTTAGCCGAGATATCTCCTGGCATTGCTCCCTATCTCCCTTCATCATGTTTCATTAAAAAAAAGTTTAATTAAATGTGAATATTTTAATATTTAACGATAGTAAATATTAATAACAAATTTGAATATACTGGAGATAAAAAGTTTTTATTAAATTATCGTTACCATACTTTATTCTCCTTGCTATGTCTATCTAGCCGATTTTAATCATGGTAACAACTAACGAACCTAGCTGAGATATTAGTGGTAGTCGTGAGCACAATCTTGACCACACAACACTAGACTAGCCGTTTTATAAACTTTCAGGAAAAAAACTATATCTGTTGTAATAATTTTATTCTTGATATTTCACTTGATAATATATATTACCTTTGGAACAAACTGGTAGTGTTACGAATTCTACATATTTAGTTAACCTTCGAACCCGTCTTCAATATGAAAAACTTTTAGCGAAAGAATATTTTAAATGAATATTCTCTGAACATTTGGCATTTGATTAACGAATCGTAGCTAATTTCACTTGCGTGCGCCGGCTGCAATCACAAATGCAATAATATTTGAATGTCTTCGTAAAAAGTGGTGCATATCACTCAAGAGAGAATTCGCATCGTGCGTAAAAACCGGGAAAGAACTACGCTCTCACAGAAAACCAGCGTAAATTAGCAGTTTAATCCTGCTGTGTTTCGTATGGTGAGTGTAGAGAACCAGTGAATCGAAACATTCCATTTTAATCCTCAGGGGTGCATTTAGTTATTGTAGCTCTAAGATTCAAATTTTCTGATTTTTTCACATTTAAAAAAAATCGACGGTGATTTAAACTACTTTTACGGATTTTATCGCGTTTCATTTACTTGACTTTTCACAGGTCACATGGACTGACGTCCTGATGTCAGTGTTAACTCAACAATCAGTGACCGTACAGAAAACTGAAGAGCAGTTTCGAAAACTGGAATAAATTTACAAAGAAATTCTGTTAAGACATTTGAAGACAAATAAATTTTACTTTATTTGCTATTTGTATTTGGCAAAACTGAAAATAAAAACTGACTTTTTCCCTAGTTTTGGTAAAACCGCTGCATTTTAGCAAATACTGATAGGAAAGCTAAGGTTTTCAGGACTTTTTTCACCTCAATGTTACCTCCATTAGCCCTGTAAAATTACAGATCGATCCGATCGATTCAGTTTCGAAAAAAATTAAAGGAGCAAGATTTGGTCCTTAAATTTAACATTAGATATTAGACGGGTTTAAAAAATTCGGAATTTTTAATTTAATTTAATTTTATCATTTTCACGTTAAGGAACATCGTCATCGGTAACGAAAAAATATAAAAAAAAACATTTTTTTGTAAACGAACAATGTTGTATATTCTTAATTGATAATTTTTTTTTCATTTTCGCTTTTGTTTATTGGATTGCGTTGAAACCGTGGCCAAAAACTTTTTTTTTCAAAATACAAAAAAATGAATCTTATATTTAGAAAATCTTCTTTTTTAAAGCCTCTGAGACCATTTTTCACTGAGATACAGCTCATCGAAAATCACCGAAAAATGGGATTTTTTTGCTGCCTAATTTTTGTGAGTAGTGTATATTTTTATGTTATGTAAATAAATATCAATTCATACAGTATACAAATATATTTTTAGACAGTATACGTAAGCATATCTTATATTTGAATCGGTTAGTTGAGGAGGTGAATAAGTAAAGGCGTCCTAAATTTTCAAGCGACACAAAAAACTTTTTCAAAATAGTTTTTAAATTTTACATACTTTTACTAATTTGCAATGTTTTTTTTTCGAAATGTTAGCAATGGGTACTTTGTGTAACAATAGATAAAAAGTTATTTACTTATTCCCTCTGATTATTGATGTATTTCAAAGTTCGTTTCAGAGCTATCTTTTTTATCGTTCTTTAAAGTCTGAACTACTTACATAATTTTTTGTCTGAAGAAATAAAACGATTGTACTTTTTAATTGATTAGAATTACGTTAAAAACCAAACATTGTTTTCAAAGCAAACTAGCAAGGCAAACAAGTCAATGCTTATTATATTTCTTTCTTCTGTAGAACGAAGCAGTCAAGTCATTTTACTACCACGTTCTTATTAACTCTCTTTCGTATGTCTGTACGGGTGGTATTTTTGTCCTCACGATGTTTTGCTTCATCACCGAGTACGTGGTAAACCAGCATTTAAAATTGCAATTAACAATTTCATTGGCGCCGGCGGAGATCGAATCTACTTTGCTCGCAAAATGTGAAATTTACAGCGAGCGCTAACCATATGAGCTACCACGGCTTTACTTTGATTTTTTTATATATAAACTTGTTTTTTGCTTTGTCATGATAGGTCACAGATTAACTAAGCCAGATGAAGTGCAGTGCGAATTGATTTCCGGCGCATGCGAATTCATTGGTGCGTGAGTGTTGTTATGCCTCGCGAGCGAAACCGCCTCAAGCTATCATTGCTTTTTACAAATACTTTTCTATTTATACTATCATTAAAACTACAAACAAACTTCATTATAACTACAATAAGTAAAAACTAATTACATATAAACTAAAATATTTATCTAATATTATCTACATATTACTTTTAAATATTAGTTTAAAACATTTTCATTCCTCATTTTTACACCCTTATACTGATTTATAAACTCCACCACAGGTTCAGCTTCATTCTCGAAGTATAGCCTCTCTACCAAAAAATATTCATTTAAAACGGCCCTCAATTGATGAATATAGCGTGTACGAAGATACAAAAATTGTATGTTAGCACATGCTATATTCGATTCAAAGAGAACCTCTTTCTTTTGAAGTTGGCAAATTTTTTTTATAGGAATGGGTGACAAACGAGCACACAGTCCACCTGATGGTAAGTGGTTGCTGCGGCCCATAGACATCTACATCTATTCTCGATTACAAATCAAAATGATTTGCATTTTGATCCTCGATTAAGAATTGAAATACCTTGTCATCTCCTGAGGACTAAGATGGAATGTTTCGTTTCCAGTAAAAATGATCCTTGGTTCTCTACGCTCACCATACGAAACACAGTATCAGCATTACTCACTCACACTACAGCCTTATAGCTGCAGCGAGGCTTTACCGTGCGTTTACATTTTTTATAGGATAAGGGTGACAAGCACAGTTCAGCTGATGGTAAGTTGTAGTCCATAGATATCCACATCTATCCTAGATTACGAATCAAAATGCAGATACGTTGTCACCCGTGAGGACTAAGATGGAATGCCTCGTTTCCAGTAAAAAGGGTCTCCGGTTCTCTACACTCACCATACGAAACACGTTTTACGCTGGTATTCTGTGAGAGCGTGGTTCTTCCCCTCTACCAGGTGTAAAAAAATTGATAATTAATAACATTCATATTAATCAAGATTACATTTCGTAAATAAAATAACAATCATATTAAATCAAAATAACATTTAGTAAAAAAGGCGATTAAAAATGTTGTCTCATTTAATTTCAGGTCGAGTGCTTTGATTATATGGAATGGGGACCGGGCAGATACAACCGCGGTGTGCCCGGAGGTAAGTGGTGCTGATCTTTCATGTAAACTGATAAAACTTCCTTGGCATGACAGAGAATTATTTGTAATTACTGTTTAAACAGCCAGTTAACGAGCCAGTTTAGACGCTATCAATATTGGTTGGTAGAAACTTGATGCGTGTAGCAGAAGACCGGGCTAAGTGGCGTGCCTTAGATCAGGTATATGTTCAGCAGTGGAGTGAATACTGTACTCGAAGGACCATCATCGTCGTGCATATACAACGATATTATTGTTTCATATAAAGTAAAGTTTAAAGTTACAGCCTATATACGTCCCACTACTGGGCACAGGCCTCCTCTCATTTCTGAGAGGGTTTTAGGGCAAGGAAATTTCCGCCGCGCTGCCCCAATGCGTGTTGGCTAGGGAATGCAAACCGGGTTACCCGAAAACCGAAAAACCGGTTTTTCGGCATATTTGAATTATTTAAAAAACCCGGTAATTTTTTTCATGTTTTGTCGTTTTTTATGGTTTTTTATGGTTTTCGGGTTTTCTTATTATTTTCAAATAGCAACACAATAAATACATTGTGTTGCTATTATTATTGTAATTCTACAATAGACATACTCTATAAAAACATCAAGTCTACGTTTTAAACTTCAGGCAGCTTTACGAAAGAGAATGGCGCTCAAGTATTTTTCGATGACATTGACAGTGATTCTATCTATCAAAAACCAACCGCAGATTCCATAAAATCTATCGTATCGAAAATAGTCACTGACAATGACGATAGTATTACTTAGGCAGAACATCGGAGGTTTAGTACTGCTTCTTCATCTCCTACTTTCAAAAGTTTCAAACAGAAGCTTTTGCATGCATTGAAACCAACAAAGAGCTGTACTGAACCATCTTTATCCGAGCTAAATTTAGAAACCGAAAAAATGGTTTTATGTGAAATGGCATTACACGAGAATGGCGGTGGTGAGTTTTTCAACAAAGGCATACAAAGCTCTCATCACGATCAAACCCACAAGTGTCGAATCACAGCGTGCATTTTCGACAGCTATTTATTTCTGCAGCAAAATACGGTCTCGTCTTAATGATTCCACTTTTGATGCTTTACTTTTCTTAAGATCTCTTTTTCTTACTTAAACGTCAAAGGGTCCGCATACAAATTTGATGTATAACTACATGCTAGATCAGATTCAAACTTTGCAGATATATTGAGAAGAGAAATCGATGTCTGTAATTGGTTTTTTAATTTTCAAAAGTACTAAAATTAAACGGAACAAAATAAGAGCGAGTTGAAATTTTCATACGAGTACTAATCTAATTACAGCCTCTTATTTTGTTTTGTTTAAGTTTATACCGATGAAAAAAAACAGACATTCATGTTCATCCATCTTGTCAATATATTTTCAAAGATTGAGTTTTACCCGTTTTTGTGTCGTTTTTACCTAACCTTTCATTAAACTTTTTCTTTAATAAATTTTCGCACTTTCATTGAAATCTTGAATATGTATTTCCTTTTAATAGGTATTATGTACGTGTCTATTTAAGAAAGAAAAAAGAAGTTTAACTATATAATTTATACAAAGAATAAGCGGTTTCACCGAAAACCGGGTTTTTTTTTGTAAGAAATCCGAAAAAAAAACCGGGTTTTAATTTGAGCCGGTTTTGCATTCCCTAGTGTTGGCGAACTTCACGTCTTCGAAATATTTTTTTTCTCAAACATGCAGGTTTCCTCGCGATGTTTTCCTTCACCGCCGAGCACGTGGTAAATCAGCACTTAAAATTGCAATTAACAATTTAATTGGTGCCGGCGGGAATCGAACCCGGGTTGCTCGCGTAATGTGACTTTACAGCGAGCGCTAACCATCTGAGCTACCACGGCTCACTGTTTCATATCCCGTCACTTTTTTATTCTGTGGAAACGTTAATGCTTAATGGCAAAACCAAATTATTATATTTGTAAACTTGACAAGTTCCAATATCGTAATTAGAAATTTAAAAAAGCCATTTATTCCTTTAGAATTTTCTTTACATATGCTGAGCCGAATATTGTGGTTTTTATAAATAATCCCCTATTAATAACTTGGTCCGTAACACTTATATACACATACTCGTAATAATGCATCGGTGGTGTATTATTTAAAGTTTGTACACAAATTTAACGTTTTCTTCTCGTTCACACAGGTGCGGTTCAGCACAGCAGGTCGCCTGGTACGCTATTAGACGGTACAACTTACTCCTCACCGTCGTTTGTGAGACATCACTTATTCTCCCGGCGAGTGGACTTGTTGCCTTCCGGAGTCGAGGACGTGGTGAAGGAGCACGCGAAGTTAGTTCAGGATATTAACAGCATGAAGCAACCTCTGTATGTGGCGCCAATGGTGGACAGAAGTAAAGACTACGATGAGTCTATTTATCTGGAGGCTATAGAAACAACCACAACACCGAGGCCGACAACTACTTCGAAGATATTCCCAACCAGATCAAAGAAACCAGGTTCCTCCATTCCTGTTATCCTCGTGGGTGGAGCAAGTCAGCGTACTGTACTCAAAAGTCCACCATTTAAATATGTAAGACCTACTGTCGGTCTCGTAGGGACGTCAGAATCTCCGTTAGTAAATCATCCATACCAATTTGTTCGGCATCCCAATTCACCGCTTCCTATCCGTGTTTGTATGCCGACTATGCCTCAGCACTCACCCGTATATACCAAACCAAAGCATAGTCTGCTGGAAAAAATACTCAACGGGATCATATCTAGGTAGTAACGGTTGACTTGATCACTCTCTCTCTGTTTGCCATCTGCAATTATTATTTTTGTTTCTGTGTAAGTGATGATTTTTATCGCTTGTTATTTTGTAATGTGATCTGAATTTTCCTTCCGCTTTGTGTCAAAATATAATGAAGGTTTTTAAAATTGTTAAACTTTCAAAAATTATTTATATTTAAAACTTTTAAAAGAACTCTAAAGGTACCGTTTTTATTGGAAAGGTGGCATTCCATATTAGTTCTCAGGGGTAATTTCGTATCTGCATTTTGATTCTTAATGGTTGATCGTCTTTAATTGTTTTATTTTTACCCTGATACCCTTTATACCCTGGTCGAGCCAAGGCATTCGTGAATCAACCATATTACAGCTGCAGCGAGGTTCTACCAAGCAAAATTGTGTGTGCCCGCTCAGGTGTAACTTCATCCATCGCATTGTCTAACTTTTCACAAGCCAGCGCGTCGGAATGGAAAAGTTGAACGTCTTATGTGATATGACGGAATGATTGTTCAATGCGTCGGTATAATTAAGTGCCGTCGACTCGGATGACGGCGAATTCTATCACGTTATGTCGGAGCGTTGCGTTTCGCTTCGACTCACTAGTAAAGTAAACGGTGGGTATGTGATGTTTTTGTTTGTAATTTTAATAATAGAATATAAATAAGGTTGAAAATTAACACCTTGTTTCTTTTTAATCTATAGTTATGGAAAAAAGTAATTTATCTGCATGATTTTTCATAATTCGCACACGCAGATCAATTATAAAGAATTGTAGTGCCCAAGTGTATGCGCAAGCACAGCTGCACTCTCTATTCCCTCACTCTCATAGTCCCATGGGACGGTAAACCGACACGACCGGAGAGAGATCAGGCGCTGGACCATCGGCTTTACGTGATTTCCGAGGCACGGGGTTGAAAAACCGCCAACTTCTTGACTTTAAGTTACTACTGAGAAGTTCTTGACAAAATTTATTTATTTATGTCTTGACCATTGTGATTACATAACATTGGTACACAAAACACCCAATAATTGATTTTAGGCACGATTCGGGATTCGAACGGGATACGACCTCTAGACCAACGAGGCAGTCAGAGGCAGAGGCAAGATAAACAGAACACCGTACATCAAAATGATTCTCAGCTCTTCGTTTTCTTTCTTTTATAACAGTCTGTAAAAATCCACTAAGGGATGCATATATATATATATATATATATATATATATATATATATATATATATATATATATATATATATATAACTTGTGTTCAACTATAATTTGAAATCGGTTATTATGACCAACGGGTGTGAACGCACGCTGACTAGCCAAGTCTCTCTCTCCCCTTTACCACGCACCGCGGTACGTTGTGGGTGAAAGTACATTTCTTGCAGGGTGCTTTAAACTGTCAATAGCTCGTGCTGTTTAAATTATATTTATATCATACATGTGACGACAGTGTTTTGCTGCAAAATAGATGCGAGTGTATATGTTATGGGCCAAATGATTAACCAGGGCACTATTTACAATTCCCGGGCAATATGCATATAACAAGTGAAATCGGGCCACGTAATGAATACTGATTTAAACTTCATTATTTATCACATTGCCTGGTCGTAACTTAACCTATCGTTTTATTACTCTGTCCAATAAGTAACGCATCTTATTCTTAAAGTCCGGTAAATTTAATAATTTAAATAGTTTATATCATATTGCCAACTCATATTGGGTATTTTTTTTAAACTGTCTAGATATTATTAATAATCCCCTATTTATTACTTGGTCCATAGCATATAAAAATCTTACGAGCGGACTTACGACTGGTAGTATCAAAATCAATTTTTAGACGTCATACTGCCATTGCCAATCCGCCTGCGTGGTTATCAAGTCAAATCCTCACTAAAACGGGATTAATAATTGACCAGGTGACAGTTTATTGGCGGTGTAGGAACCCACTAACACGGTGGAAGTATCCACTATCCCATATCGTCCCGTGGGTGTCGTAAGAGGCGACAAATGGAAACAAACCAGGAGTTGGGCAGCAACGTTTTTGTGATAACAACTCAAAATCATAAAAAAATGCAGTTGCAAACCCGCAGGCCAAGCGTGGCATCCATGGCACAACGCCTCCCATGAGGCAATATATGGGGGGGGGGGGATATGTTCAGCAATGGAATTTTATAGACTGTAACGAATGGATGGAATTGAATTATCGAACAGGAATAAGAAAAAAATGCTGAAAATATAGTTTGTATGTCAATTTATATTAAAACAAGTTCCTACTAGACATAAAAGTATTGCGGGATGAGTTTATAACAGTTTATGTTTAGCCGGGAACTGCTCACTGGCCGATGATGTCGACGACAATACTCCTAATCATCGAATACTTTGTAAATCTTACCATGCTGCTAATGAGGGCTAATTATCTTACAGTGAACGTAAGATGGCGCCAGTTGGACCTGAAGTGAACTTGTTTGTTACACAAATGTCATCATCATTGAAAAGTTGCTATTTAATTATAAGTTTTTCGGATTAGAGGTATTATCACTCAGCCCCAATCCCCACGGTATAGTGCCAAGAACGCTGGCTACGTTTGTAATAATGGCTATACTTACCCTTTGAGTGAGAAAAGAGCCCTCCAATCAAAGACAGACCTTTAGTCACTAGACCTTTAGACCTAGAGATTTGAGGCGACAGAGAAATTATTATATGTACTCGTATTCTTAATTTTTTTTCACGTTTATAACTTTTTTATTTCTATTTTTAGTAATATTCTAAGTTATTATCCATTTATAATTGAATAAATATAAAAAGAACCGTGGTAGCTCAGATGGTTAACCCTCGGTGTAAATATAAAAGAATGCGAGAAACCCGGATTCGATCCCCGCCGCCACCAGTGAAATTGTTAATTGCAATTTTAAGTGTTGAGTTACACGTGTTCGGCGGTGAGGGAAAACATCGTGAGGAAACTTGCATGTCTGAGGAATAAGGAAAAAAATTCTAAGACATGTGAAGTTCGGCAACACGCATTGGGGCATCGCGGCGGACACCTCCTCGCCCTAAAACCCTCTGAGAAATGAGGGGAGGCCTGTGCCCAGCAGTGGGACGTATATAGGCTGTAACTTTACTTTTTGTTACTTTAAATATAAAATATATATAATGTTTCAGAATAAAACATTAGCTAAGAAATCTCTCAAATACTTCACTTCTTTCGTGAGTGACGTTGCGCCGCGTTGATGACTGAAAAAGGTATTTTAGAAAATATGATAACGACTAATTTTTCAATGATCAGATAAAAGTTATGCATTAAATAAATTATAACCTGACTGAAAATAAAAGTAAAACAATTAGACTATTTGATTTATGCGTAATTATTATTAGTGTAATTTTTTATTTGTGTTTATATTACTTTATCCAATAAATAACTTTTTACGGATTGAATAATCTGCCCATGATGGAAATGAATAAAACAAAACAATACATTTAGTTATAATTTATTTTAAAATTGCTAATAAATTTCTATTAATATCATTAACTAACGATCCCTTATTTACTAATTTGTGTTGGATGTTTAACTTAGTTTTAAGTGCTTGCAATTCATACATTAGTTCTTAAACGTTATAAAAGTTAGTAAAAACTTTACCAAATTTAGCCACTAACAAAATACTTGATATTTGAGTAAATCCTACTAGCTCAGCTAATTATTTCAGTCGTTGAACTAGTGACACCTTTTTAATAAAATATTATCGCATGCTCTTTTGTCTCCCCTTATATAAAAAAAATTACACATCAATCTACATTTATTCAAAATGACCGCTCAGGCATCGCAACGTACTGCCATCACATCTCGTGGCTTCGCTCTAATCATGGAGTATAGAGGTAAGGAGGATAATCTCCCATAGGAGAACAGTTGAAAAAGTGTCCATCTGTAAGCAGTAAATAACAGTTCAAAAACTCTCCATAGCAGCGCTCGAGTAGCTACTGGGTATGATAAATCGACGTAAAATACGTTGAGTGATTTTGAAAATAAAAATTTGAAAGCAATAAAATAATTATTGTAAAAAGAATTATGGTGAAAGTCTGTGCAATAAAAAAATTATAAAAAGTTCTTCAAAATTTAGACTGTAGCTACAGTGGCGCCACCCTTATTTAACGCTTTGCTACGGACACTTTTTTATACAGTCTGTCCTACTTACCTCTACACTCCTAGCTCTAATGTGGACAAATGGGCAAGTTGACAACGAAGAGCACATTTAGTTCGATCAGTGCTGCCATTACAAGGAAGCCTGCGTACACGAGAGCGCAAGTGACGCCTATCTTCCAGTCCAACCGGAACTTGTTGAGCGCGAGGGAACCGTACAGCGTGAACAGAGTGGAGAGGAGTGATATGGCGCTATACGAAAGCCCGCTGGAGTTTATTTTTATCTGTGGAAATTAATTTCAGGGTTGTATTAAACTTTGGTATTTTATATGGAGGCGTTAGAGTTTTTACGTTATTTTTATTATTTATGTAATTTATTCTTTATGTCGTTGCTCATGGGTTCCCCCCGGTGTTTTCGAGTGCCAACCTCGTAAGCGAAGTATAGGGCAGCTCTACAATAGATGCAGTGACGACTTGGTGATATATGCGGGAAGTCGATGGATGCAGGTGGCCCAGGACCGCGCTTTGTGGCGTTCCTTGGGGGTTCCTATGTTCAGCAGTGGACTCGTGAAGGGCTGTAATGTGAATGCTACTATTTTACGTACGTAATTCTTCACTTGGTATCTAACATTTGTTGTAGGTAATTGATTTAAGTATGCAATTCTTAGTTTTGTTTCTTGCTGCTGTTACATAATTTTTTTAATGCAATAATAATGTACTTGTCTGTTAAATTAACGACAATTTAGTTTTAATACATAATTTAATTAATTAATTTGGGTAAATAATATGTAGTTTCCGTTTTCCAACTAGATGGCGTTGGCGTCGAGTTAGATCGCGCTATGGTTTCGTTTCCAAAAAGTGATGTTTTAGGTGCCGACGGGCCGCTCTCAGCCTATAGAAACGGGGGTTACATTTGTTGTTTGTGTGGGTTGATGTGTTTTATTTTCCTGCGAATAATTATTATTTTTCTACTTACTAGCAACTTTTACGTACTTATTCGATTACTTATCATTGTTTTGAATATCGTTAGTATCGGATTAAGAAGGAATTTTAGTTATGTCTTTTAGAAAAAGATCAAATCTGTCTCGAAACTCAAGGGTTTCTAAGATCTCTCGAAACCGGCGCAGAGCGTGAACAACGGCTAAGTTGCGTGACGGCAATGGCTAAATAACCGTGAGCGTAATGCACTAAGTTTGTCCGCAGAAACTAATACGCAGCTCCAACTACGACTAAAATTTAAGGGAGTCCGCACTACTGCTTCTCGATCTCAGCAAAGTGTGGAACAACGAGAAATGCGTTTAGCTATCGACCGGGATTGTCATTATTTGTATCGCGCATCCGAAACGGTTACACAAAGGGATCGTAGGTTGAGTCTTCAGAATATCCGCTCTGAGACTGCTCGTTCACTTGAGAGCAGTCAGGAACGTGAGATACGAATTGCGTCATTACATATTTCATTTAACAGATACAGAGAGAGAGAGAGAGAGAGAAAGAGAGAGAGAGAGCAGAGATTATGTCTTCAGCTTTTCCTCACTGAGACTGCTCGGTTGCTCGAGAACAGTCAGGAGCACGATACACGCCAAACAAGCGATCGCGAGCGCCACGCAGTATCTCGCGCTTCGGAGACTTACACGCAGAATTCCGCACCGGATCAGTGAAATGTACGGGATGAACATATAGGCTATAATTTATTTTGGAAAATGGAACACCTGATGCAGAACCACAACAGACTAGCTAAAGTATAAGAGATATAAAAATGGTGCCATAGCAAAAAAATATTCCACGTGAAGAGTATTTTCTGCTGTGAGAATAAATTTGAAGATCTGGAACACCTGTTGTGGAACTCCAAAGGCCAGCGACATTATAACATATATAGGAATGACACTCTAGCAAAAGTTGTTTAGTCTGATGGGCATTTCCTGTTGACTTACAAAACTGAAAGATCTGGAACGTCTCGAATCGTCTCGCGCATCCTGTTGTTTTCCCGTCCCCGGGCTCTTAGAATTCGACATCAGACGTTTCAGATCTTCGATTTTAACGACGCTGTTGTCGCTGGCATAAGCAACAGGATCCGCGGACGAAGTCGCGGGCAGAAGCTAGTTACATATAAAGTGATTGTGCATTATGTCCTAGATACTAAGCTTTAGCAATTAAGGTTTTTGCTGGTATAACAATAGTTGGTAATCTAATTAAATTACAAAATTGGTTGACCCTGCAGGCCATCCATGGAACTTCCCGCTAATTTCAAATGCAAAGCGCTCAAAATTTCACCAAATTATGTTGTACAATCTCGAAGTTATATTAAAAAAAAAACGTTTTTTTTTCAAATTCTTTCTCCTTCGCCATCTCACGAACGGTTGAACCGATTTTTATTTTCCAAACGGCATTCGACGTCATTTTTTGAGTTTAAGAGCTGATTAGTTTTGGAAATCGATCGGTAAAATCGTTTAAAAGTTATAAAAAAAAGCAGTTTTTCAAAATTTTTATTTTTGAGATTTCTCAAAATCTCCTCGTCCGAATCAGTTTATATCATCACCAAATCTATTCCACATTGAGATCTTTAGAACGCCGCAAACCGCATCTAAATCGATCAAGACGTTCAAAAGTTATGAAAGGTTTACATACTTACACGCACGCACGCACGCACGCACGACACGCACACGCGCACACACACACACACACACACACACACACACACATGCACACACACACACACACACATACACACACACACACACACACACACACACACACACACACACACACACGCGCATACACACACACATTTCCGTACGGACGTCCAGTGAAATTAGTAAGAATAGCTTCCTGGGATCTCAAAACGTCGAGATCTGATAAAATCTCGATTTTTGAATAAAAATATTCTATCCTATTAGAATTTAATTATTGGTATATATTACCCAGTTGTTCCCAGGTGTTGACGGATAGAATAGGGTCTTGATCAACCAGGGCAGGCCGAGGCACAGCAGGATGTCGAACGTGTTGGAACCTATGGAGTTGCTGATGCCCATAGTTCCGTGCCCTGGAAACATTGTATATGTTAAAAGTAGCATTATTATATTTTTTATAGTATAAGGTTGACAAACGAGCACACATTCCGCCTGATGGTAAGTGGATGCTGTGGCCCATACACATCTATATTTATCCTTGATTGAGAATTAAAATGCAGGTACGTTGTTACCCTTGAGAATTAAGATGGAATGCGTTGTTTCCAGTAAAAAGGTCCTGCAATTCTCTACACTCACCATACGAAACATAGCAGCAATGGGCTGCTATTTAACGCAGAATATGGTCCTACCTTGGCCAAGCCGACCCGTTCGTGCTTCAACCATTATGTTTTTTATAGCAGAGGGAGCAAACAAGCATGCAGCTTACGTGATGGTAAGCGACTACCGCCGCCGGTGCGTTGCCGCCTTTTAGAAAGTAGTAAAATCTTTCCTTGAAGGTCCCTAAGTCGTATCGGTCCGGAAATCCGCCGGTAGTAAACAATTCCACAGAGAAGTTGTACAAAGAAGAAAACACCTAGTAAAATGCACAGTGGTCGACCGCCGAGCATCCAGATGATGAGGATGATATCGTGAATTTTGAGCGATATTGATATTCATAGATATTCGTTACGTTGAATGAGGACAGTGACGCATCACGTGCGGCGGATAGGGAAGCGCCATTTTTTAGATCTTTTCGCTTCGTCTTACAATATCCGTTTAGTATATTATATTTTGACGTTGCGTTAAGTAAAACACACTTCTTTAATTTTAGTTACTCCAAATTTTTTGTTTTATATTGTCCGGGTATATTTACCTTGGTTGGTAACGAGCACGCTGGAAACAGCTTCAGGTAGGCTGGTGCCTGCCGCTAGGATGGTCAGACCCGTGATACTGTCAGGGACGTTGAGGGTATCACCTGCATATTTCATAACACAATCATATTACTTTTTAATTTTTGTATGGTGTGAATAAAGCATATTAAAAAAAAAAGAACATATTCCTGCAGATATTTTAGTTATTTACTTTGATAACATAATATTGTGTTTATTTTAAATTATTTCGTAATAAGTTTAGTGCACAGAATTTTCTTGTTTCGAAACAATTGGTTTTAGCTGTCATATCCTGCAAGGCCCTAGCTCAGCATAATATTAAATACAATCACACCTACGATATCTTGTACATCTCACAGCAAAGGATTTTCTGGTCTGTGAAGTGTATTACTTCTTCTGAGCCTAGTTGTTGTCCTGATGGATGCTTCATTTACTTATTAGGGGCCCGCATACAGTATGTAACCGTGTACTGGCGGTGTAAGAATATCCATTACACTTATCCCTCATAGGTGTCATAAGAGGTGATGGAGATAAACGGAACCAGGAGTTGGGCAGCAGGGTCATTCTAATGGCGGAATAAAAAATAAAACTGCAGTTGCGAACCCTGACAAGCTTGGCATTTATGGCATATACCCCCCTTATGAGTCTGTCTGTAGGGAGGGGGGGGGGGACGAGCTATGTTCAGCAGTGAACTTTTGACAGGCTGTGATGGTGAGGATGCAGAGTGATTGTGTAGAGGCGTTCGTCCGCTAAGGACGAATGACGAATTATGCACATCCTTGAATATGTTTAAGCTAAGTTCTAGAATATATACGGGTTTATTAAGCAGCCGTGCCGTGTGTCGTGAGAGTGAGCCGTGGTAGCTCGTGGTGGTTAACGCTCGCTGTAAATATAACAGAACGCGAGTAACCCGGGTTCAAACCCCGCCAGCACCAATGAAATTGTTAATTGCAATTTTAAGTGCTGATTTACCACGTGCTCGGCGGTGAAGGAAAACATCGTGAAGAAACCTGCATGTCTGAGGAATAAGAAAAAAAATATTTCGAAGACATGTAAAGTTCGTCAACACGCATTTGGGCAGCGCGGCGGACACTTCTTTGCCCTAAACCCTCTCAGAAATGAGGGGGAGGCCTGAGCCCAGCTGTGGGACGTATATAGGCTGTAACTTTACTTTACTTTTACTTTTACTAAGCAGCAGTGTCCAGTCAGGGGCAAAATAGATAATTAGTTCTTTCTTAACTGTATGGCTTCAGAAGCGAATTTACGTTTGGTGTTTTGATTCAGTCGTAAAGAGATTTCGCGCGATGAACGGCTTAATGGGCACAAAATTTCTCGAGTCCGAATTGAGCTGCACCTGTGCTTGCGCCTACGCTCGCGCAATATAATCATGTCCCGCGCAGATGGCTAGTCTCTGTTGAAAATGGTCGTTGTGACCGGAACTTGGTCTTGAAGACATTACTCAATACTTCTCTGCCTGTTACATTTCGTACCAAAGATTAATGCAAAAGGAATAGAGCGTCCAGAAAAATTCGTAAGCTGTTTGCGGATAGATATACAATTATTTCTTACCTAGTATAGTGATAATCCATGCTACGAGGTAGGAGACGCCGCCAATCCAAGCCACGCACATCATGAAGGTGAGAGGATAGAAAGAAGGGCGATGTCTGCAGTCCGGTATAGTGACCCACAGAATCAAGCTGATGGGTAACGCGGCCACCCACAGTGCCTTACGTGCGGTCGACGCCTTCTCGCCCGGCCACGACAGCAGTGAGCTCAGACTTGTTTCTGTACAAATTTGTTTAAAAGTAAAAAGTAAAACAAGTAATAAAAAGTAAAAGTACATACCGTGTAGTGGCGGTTGAGAATATCCACTACCCCATATCTCCCCGTGGGTGACGTAAGAGGCGACAGAGGGAAGGCAGGCAGGAGATGGGCAGCAGCATCTTCCTGATGACAACTCATAAAAAAATGAAAAAGCCTATGGTGGCCAACTAGCATGCTAAATGTGGCAACCATGGCAACGCCACCCACTATTAGGAAATCTATAGACATGGGTGTTCAGCAGCTCTTATAGGCTATAATGGTCTCACTACTGGGACTAGAGTTGGTAACCTGTTGCATATTATTGAAGTATTCTACTATATTACGGGTACGAACTACGAATACTAGTATCCTTAAAAATGTATATGGTAGGCAAACCTATTATCTTTTAATGAAAGCTGACTATAGCGTGATGCTACGAATGGTATGGCTCGATCAAGTAAGGGCCACGTACTCACATAAAACCAGTGTAAAATTAATATTAATATAATAAGACTGCTAAACGTGGCAATTATGGCAAACATTGCGTCCATGAGGCAATCTACGGGCGAGGCAAGTTGATTGGCTGTAGCTATATTATGGCTGCAGCACGAATGAGTCGGCTCGACCGGGGAAGGACCACGCTCTCACAGAATTCATTCATTCAGTGAGTGTAGAGATTCGGAGACCCTTTTTTTACCGGAAAGGAGGCATTCCATCTTAGTCATAAGGAATGACAACTCATCTGCGTTTTGATTCTAAATTGAGGATAAATGTAGATGTCTATGGGCCACAGCATCCACTTACCATCAGGTGGACTGTGTGCTCGTTTGTCACCCTTATTCTATATAAAAAATGATGAATGGACAGTTAAAATTAAGATATACGAGTAGTAAGAAACGATGATTGGCAGACAACTTACCCGAGTCAGTCGAGCTTCTCTTATTAAGGATAAATCCTTGCTCCAGATCGTTATAATGATTTCCACTTTGCGTGACTTTGTGTGACAAGTCCATCTGATTGCACTTTTCTGTGACGAGAACAAGTATAATTAAGTTTTAGGTAGCATTTTAATTTTCTTTTTACTCCTCATGAGCCTGACAAAATCCACTACTGGACGTCGTTTTTACTCATTGTAGGAAGGATTTTTTTTGTTTATAAACAACGTTACCCCCATACAAATATTTTCAACTGTATCGTGGAGTTGACATACATAAATTGCACAAGGACAAATATATATACGGATATATATACGGAGCAAGTATCTGTATGGCCTGGCCTACAGATACTTGTTCCATACCTGGAACAAGTATCTGTAGGCCAGGCCATACAGATACTTGCTCCGTGTGGGATTTGTATTCGCGGCTCTTCTCGCGGAGCCGGGACTTTGGATAAATGAGATGATTTTGGGCCACAGTGTATACTTACCATCAGGTGGAGTGTGCTCGTGTGTTATTGTCACCCTTATTCTATAAAAAATACGTGTGGCACTCGGTGACTGCCGCGGTAAAGCTATTGCATAGCATTTTTTATCAACTTATGCAATTATAATTATTTATTTATTTTATTTATGCAGTTAATTCTTTGATATTAAATCAAGTTACACTTTTTGAGCGTGGTGACCGATAAGAAAACAATTTTTTTCTCTTATTGAATAAATGAGAAGTTAATATTGTTTAAAATATTTTTAACATATTAAAATACATGTAGGTTATTCAGGAATTTTTATCATTGAGTTAGCAGCTAGTGTACACGCATACGTCTAGTCGCACGCACACAAACACCGTGCCGAAGTCTGCCGAGTGCCGAAGTCTGCCGAACTGGAACGACGTTCACGGCTTCCAACGCCACACCTCCGTGCCCGTCGGAGTGGGGAGCGTGAGGTTTTTTTCGTTACGGAATTTCTGGATTCGGTCCCCGCGCTCAAGGCCCGCGATAGAAGCTATGCAATAGCTTAAAAAGATGGATAAATCATTTTTACACAGACAGCAGTACGCAATATATTTAAACATAAGGTGGGCTGCATGATCGTTTGTTTGTTTTGTTATGCTAAAAAAAGATTAAAGGCTCTATTCTCCACGGATCTGTCAGTTTGCTTAATCATCACGCTTATCAATCAAATACATTTGAAGAATGAATTGATTGATTGATGATTGGTTTGTTAGTCATTTAGTCCCGTTGTTTTCGTAAGACGCAACTATGGGAAATTTTAGGAAAATGACATAGCTCCCGATAGATGGCGGTATAACCCCACCAGATGTAGACTGGTTCTTTACAGATTCATAATAAAGAAGGAAATACGAGTATGTACCTTGAGCGAGTAGTGGAGTGATTTCAGTGAACTCCTTAGGTTTGTTGATGTAGCAGCAACCGCTCCGAACGAAACTTCCGAGGCGTCCATTGAAAACCATTGCTAGAAAGTGATAAAATAATACCCATAATATATATTTATTTGTATAACACATTTATTTACATCATAACCGGGCGAGAATATTGCAACATATCAGGTTAATATTAAAGAGATATCCCAAATAATAATTAAATGCATGTTCCCGTATTTAGTAACATTTATACGGGTTGGCTCGACTTTAGAAGGACCGTGCTCTTATAGAACACCAGAGTAAAACAGGTGAGAGTAGTGAACCGAAATCTCTTATTACTGGAAAGAAGGCATTCCATCTTAACTCATACGGGTGACCAAATATCTGCATTGTGATTTAACTGAGGATAGATATAGTTGTCTAGGGGCTTCAGCATCAACTTGCCATTAGGTAAAATTTGTGTATTATAAGTTCCATGGGAAGTTAAAATTAATACGTAGTATAGCCACGCTGCAGCTATATTATGTAGCATGAAAGTGGCGCCTCGACCGGTGTAATCAAACGCGATAAAATCCGTAAATAATAGTTTTTGTTGTTGTCAAGACATATAACAGTGCAGAGATTAATGTTTCTTTTCTGCTAACAGTCCATCTGGATTGGTAATACCTCTTACCCACAGGTAGTGGGTACTATTATTTATTTTGTGGTATGTGTAAGAGGGACGCCGATATCCGAATTAAATTGGGAAATCCTGGCATGGATGATACTAAGACAATTATAATACTTATTTAATTAGTACCCGGTTGACCGAGCTTTGCTCGGTATTTATCGCTCGATTTTTTTTTAATTCGTGTGTTTTGGAAATTATATTTAGATACAAATTACATACTGATGAAATATAAATAATATTTTTTGATCTTAGCGACATAACAGAAAAAACGGAACTGGTTATTTGAATAAAAAATCATGAGTGCAATTATTTTAATTTAAATTTTTGTGTTTTTAAAAAATACTAAAAAAAGGGCTCGAAAAAATAGATTTTCTCAAAAAAAGAAAGGAACTTGAAAAAAAAATTAAATAAAGCGCGTCGGTCTAGGCTCGAACCGGGGTTTTACAATTCTGTGACCGCCCATTATCCCAATTAAGCTATTTATAATCATTAACAACTTGTCAAAAGGGGGACGCCCATTTTCGGCCATGGAACGCCTAACAATGTGCATTTGTTAAAAAATTATATCTTTATTTATGGTTATTAATCGCGGTATTCATTTATCCTCAAACAATGGGAATATTTTTGCACAAATTAAAAGTACCGAAAAGATAATGATAAAAATTAGGTAGATCATTATGTTATTAGTTTGTGAATAAAAAAAAGTGTTGCCAATCACAAAACACATTTAAAAAATCGATTCTCTTTTTAGTTCGATTATTTATGGTGTCATCATTACAGTACTAGTATAATTTTTAAATAATTATTATGTTATGATAATTAAACAATCGAATTAGTAGTTGATTTCCAATGAATTTTTTAGAGAGTAACAAAACGCTACGGCACAATTTTACTGTTAATCTTAACCGATCTTCTTTGAAAACAGATAAGAACTGTTATTCTTATCTGTTTTCAAAGAAGATCTGTTAAGTTATTCTTATCTGTTTATAACAATACATTTAAAATAGAATCATGTTATGATAACGAAACAAGTTAGTTTCCGGCTGATTTACCATGAATCCTTTAACCTTTTGAGCGCCAAAGTCGCCTATACTTGACCAACACCTGCGGGCCCTGAGCGCCAGCGACGTCTATAGTTGACAAAAAACCCGGCTCTCAAAAAACGAAATATAGATATTGGAAAATTATTACAGGTATTTTAATTCTACACTCCTCAAAATAGGAATAACCCAGCAACATGTGAGTATAAAAAACAAGTCTTCTAGAGCCACAAGTACTAAGAAACATTGAACTAATAAAAATTGATTTTTATCTAAGTCCAGCACGCCAAAGTCGTCTATGGTTGACCGCTAATGTCAAACGCGGGAAGCATAGATTTCTTGAAAACTATCCAAAATTCAGCTCAGTGGTGTTTTTTTTTCTATTATTATTATTGATATTTGAATAAAATTAAAGGTTAGAAACATAAAACTATAATTAGCTACATGAATAAAAAAATGTTATCAGATCATCTTCGCATAATAAATCTAATATCTCAACTCTAGCGTATCTTTAGCGCGTTATCGAAAATCAGTTCACTGGGCACCGTGATCAAGGATAAACGACACCCTGATGATGTCATAATAGATTACCGAGAAAAGTAGAGCAATTCAACATGAACGATTCCTCAGAACTCATTTTGGAAAGCGTCGATGATAATGAATTTTGATTTTTGATTGATGAATTGAATTTTTGATTGATTGGTGAACAATTATGTTTATTTATTCCATGACCAAGATTTTAATATTATAAGGCTGATTTACCTAGTGCGAATAATTATATACAATTGTTGATTAATGAATAATCATGTACCTTTTTTAATAATTATACAAAATTACAATTAAAGTTTTTTTTACTTAAGGTGTGAAGAGCAATTTTTCATTTTGTGTTGTGCCATTTTCTTTCTCAGTCTCAAAATCATCTAGCAGCATCAGCATCATATCAAATCCCCATTGTCATAAGAGTGTAAGACTTTTCTTCTGTGCTTCACTTGGTCTACGCCTTCCCCGACACATAAAATATTATGAATCGATGTCTGTATATTTCGGTTAGATCGATTTTGAAATCGATACACAACATTCTAAGAATGTTCAAAAAAAAGGAAGGTCAGCTACGCCGTTGTCGTCCAGTCGTGACAGTGTCGTCATTAGGATGGAGAGTAGTGCTGTGGTTTACTACTATTTTATTGTTATTGTTTGTTTTTTATTTATGTTTATATGTACAAAGTACATATATAAAAAGAGTGGATGACAGCACAAGATTAAATAAAACATACAGTTTATAAAGAGTCATTTATAGAATAAAAAACCAACAAAAACAAGTTATTTTACGTTATCGATATATCAACTCTTGGCAACACTATTTTGTTTTGGCGCTTTGGCGTACAGAAAACGGTAATGCGTTTTTGGCGTGGCGCTCAAAAGGTTAAAGCTTAACAAAACGCTACTGCACAATTTAACTGTTCTTAAAAATACATTTCAAATAGCATTTAAATAAATAAAGGAAAATATATTTTAAAAAAGTGTGCAGAACTTAAAGCACCTCAAAGATTGTTTTTTTTAACGATATTATTAATCGAATAAAAATCGATATCTTTTCATCGATTTTATGTCAGTTAAGTGGCAACATCGAGTCTGACAGCTAGGCCCTGTCATGGAATGAAATCACAATTCAGTTCACATTTCACAACTATATCTATGCCTATATAAATAGTCACATGTAGAATTCATTTGCGTGTTACTTTGTTTGTTTTTATTTTTGTGAATTTGTTATCGAAGTAACGAACTAGCCTTATAAGTGGACTCTGACATTTTTCCCATCATATAGCGAAAACACGAAGGCATTTTTTGGAAATTCCAGAACTGCGAAATCTTATACAAGAATAAGTTCGACCACAGCAGGTAAATAGTTACAATCATGTGTCATGTCTTCATTTTCGTCATTCTACAATTGCAGCAATGCTTATTAACTGAGTTGTCTTATAATTATGTCAATTGATATAATAATTATGGCTTCTTTATTAGGTACAAGTTTCGAGTGATAGTGTAGTATGCCACGCATGTTAAGACTGCAGCCTGGAATCAACTGTTGAACTTATAGAGCATAAACTTAAAATAATATGTACCTATAGACCTCCAAAAAATAGAAATGAAGATTTGAATAATTTTTTGTATAATTTCGACTTAATATTAAAAAATATTGTAATAATAATAAAAATAAAATTATAATTTGTGGAGATTTTAATATAAATATAATAGATGCAACCAAAATTTCTAAAAATTTTATACAACTATTAACAAGCTACAATCTAAAAACAGCTATAAAAGTACCTACACGACTAATTAGTGATACATGTATCGACAATATTTTTCACAATATTCAAGGGTGTAAGAGCGATACTTATGACTTAGCTTTGTCAGACCATACGGCACAACTGTTAATATGCCCAGTCAAGCAAAGCTACTATCTTAATTACTGGCATATAAGCAGACGCGATTACAATGTAGAAAATCTTCACAAATTTAACAATTACTTGAGCTCTCTCACTTTCAACGAGGTTTATAAGGAAAAAAATCCTAATCTTGCTTTTGACCAATTTCATGACTTGTTTACCCTCCTCTATCGCCTATGCTTTCCTGACATTAAAATTAAAGTCTATTCACGTAAACAAACAAAATGGTTATCTAATGGGATAAAAAAATGTACTAAGCGTAAACGACAGTTATTATGGCAATACAGAAAAAAACGCAGCGTAGAAAATAAAACTATATTAAAAGAGTATTCCCAACGTCTAAACAAAATTATCAAACTTACTCAAAAGTCCCAAAATAATTACTATATTAACACAGCACAAAATAAATCGAAAACTACCTGGCAAGTGATAAATAAATACAAAAATGGCACAAATGAAGAAGCAATTAGTAAAATTATTGTTGATGGTGATATAATTGAGGATCCTCTAGATATAGCTAGGGCATTTAATAATTTCTATGCCAACAAAATTAATAAAGACCGCCCAAATAGTGATAAACCATATAAGTTAACTTTTAACAATCCCAATTCAATTTTTATACCACCCACAACATCATTTGATATAGATAAAGCTATAAAATCTCTTAAAAACACAAACAGTACCGGTTGTGATGAAATTTGTACAAGAGTTCTAAAATACGTATCCGGTGCAATTGCTCCGGTACTTAGTTATATTTTCAATTTATGTATTTGTAATGGTATATTTCCTGAAAGACTAAAGTCTACAATTGTCAAACCACTGTTCAAAAAAAATGATCGGGAGAATATGTCTAACTATAGGCCCATTGCGCTTATACCTGTGCTCTCAAAAGTATTTGAGAAAATAATTTATAACTCTTTATATAACTACCT